TGATGTCGATGACATAAGTCGGAAATTGATTCATCGCGGAGTAAGCGCGTCGACGACAAATGTCATGGGTTTGAAATATCTTATCCTGTAATAACGCTTGGAACGTGTCTCTCTGTTCGACTTTAAAATTACTGCAATTTTTCTCTCGTGCGCAAGGTGGCCGCCCCTTCCGGTGACAAATGGAAGTGGGCCATGTTCCCTCGGGTGAATCGGGCAGAAGAAAAATTTAACCCTGATGCGAAAATACCTACCTACATTTGTGAGTCTCATTGTCAGATATCCTTCTCGAACATTAATATGCGCGAAAATACTTTCCTTTGTTTGCGTTAATTTTCTTTGTCGCAGAAATACGACAAAGTAATGGATTGTTTAAAATATTTAAGTAAAATAAAAACAGCGTTTAACAAATGCCAATCAAATAAATATCATCGAATCGTGCGAATTTTACCGACTGCATCCATCACGCAATCAATCCGCGTTGAAATTTATCGACGTCGATGTGCCGACTATAAAAAAAAAAGATAAAAGTAGGACACAAAAGGGACGGCAATTACCACTTCCGTTCCGTTCGGAAGTTTCTATTCATACTCGTCACACTATGAACGCAACGTTACTTCCGTCATCGTCGTTGCGGATCGTTCGCAGGCACCGCCCGATTTTTCGCCAGACCGAATCGATATCTTCCGAATCACCTGAAAAATCGCGTTGCAAAAGAATTCTTCACCACTTTTGCTTTTATGTTTTCTCATTCAGCAGAGTTTCGTACTGACGTTATGGCGTACCGTGGATACTTCAGGCTTGCAGAGTCCGTGCTTCACGGCGCATAATCGTCGGTTTACGACGTGCCAGCGGTTAGCGAGGAGCTGGCGAAAAAAGATCGGAAATAGCCAAAGGGTGTTCCCAACGTGGTGCAAATCCTCTCTCATTCCTCTCTCTCTCTCTCCGGATAGCTCTCTGTATCGTTCGAGCGTGACGTCGACGCTCGAAGCGACGTCGGTTCATCCTGGCCAAGAGTACGCTCCGCGGCTTCTACGAACGAGCTTTTTTCCAATCGATAAATCTTACCCAGGTAAAACCGCCGCATCTTCTTGATTGCTGCGAGGCGTTCGAAAGTATACATCTTCGTCGAAGAATGTGACGCGCCTCCCACTTGGAACGATTGCCCTGAAGGAAGCTCCAGGAGATCGATGTTTTTGCTCGTCAATGCTCGAAATACTCTGACCGCAAATGTAACGTCAAATGCAGTTATTCCGTTTACAATTCTTGTCGGTAAATGCAATTATCCGTATCGAAATTCTGTAAAGTGAAGCTTTGTGGAAATTTAATTTAACAATAAGATTTTATCTCAATATTTATGTTTTTGCTTATATATTTTTTTTGCATTTTTGAAGCATATTTCTAACGAGAAACCTGTTTGATACTTTTCCAATAGCTTATTATTATTTAATATGTTAACTTAATAAGATAGCTATTGACTTCGAAGGGTCGTAAATCTACTAGCTAAACTTACTGCGACCGTAAATTGACAGCAAGCATCCTTACGTGAGAACGATGGCTCATGTTACGTCTAAGATGATGGACGCGTTCTATTGGATTGTTGGAAAGACAATACTTGCTTCTTTTGACAAAAATTTTGCATCATTAATCACATACGTTGAATAAATTTAATATCAAATGAATAAGACTTTTTATTTATAAAAAGAAAGACTTGAAAGTAATATGATTTTTTGATTCGGAAAAATGCTTTTAGAGTTGTTTTTTTCGTAAAATCGCAGATTCACGAAGTAAATATGTATAAGTCGATGAATAATGTATGCTGTATTTAGAATAAGATTTAAATTAATGCTTTATGCTTTAAAAAGAATGACACGACATACGCGGCTCATCAAACGACAGCAGCGTCTGCACATAAAAGGTGAAGGGTTTCGAATTAAGGCCCGGTGCTAACGATTCGCGTGATGCGTGGTGACCGTCGGCGCGTGCCACACGAAGCAGCTGCGAACAGCTGCTGTAAAAAGGGATCAGCTCACGTCCTCCTTATTTTACTTGTTTTTGCCTGTCGTTTCTGTGGTCAATCGAAAGAACGTTCTGAAAATACCTGGACACGAATTTTGTGACGTAAAAAAATGGAATAAACCTTTTTCAAAATTTAGTTATAACCTGGATTTTATTCTTGCACACATTAAGAAGGCAATATGTTTGAATAAAAAATTAAAGTGCTACTTTCTGACTTTTTCGACTCAATTAATAAATTAAGTTTACATGAATTCAAGAATTCGATATAGATTTATATAAAATCTTTTTCTGTTAGAATATTAATCCGGCTGAGGAAGATAAAATAGATTGCATTATTGAATTAAATATAAATGAACTGTATTTTAATAATATTACTCGACGTTTAAAACAGCTATAAAATGGGAAAGTTTAAAAACAATTCGGCGATCGATTGACCTTATTTATTTCGAGAAAATTAATCGGCGAAAGTATAGCGGGTATCTTAACGTATTAAGAACCGCATTTTATGCGTGAGAGAGCACGGAGGCTCATATATCGCGTCTGGATCTGGCCGAAGTAGGCGGAAGAAAGGCGCAAGGTGTTCTCACAGTCAGGTGGCCGCCTTCCCTTGTGCACCTGTTGTCAGACGGTTGAACCTGCATTTCATCAATTCCGATTAGAAGGGTAGCAAGATAATGTCGGCGCTCGATGATACAATTCGCAGTCCTAGTGCGTTTATTACGCGATATTTTGCTTGGATAGTAAGTGTGCGCCTCTTTCGAGGCAGCTTTGTGTCGAACGAGTATTCATATCGACATACGAGATCACTATAGGATTGTTAAGAAGAATTTATTGGAATAAAAAAACAAAGTAATTACACAGTCTGTGTACCACCGTATCTGTTAGTGGTTGGTAGTCTCTTAATTGTGTAATTTAATAATAAGTATAGATGGATCAGTTGTTGAGCTTTATTTTGTATACAGTGCGTCGTTTTTTGCTTCCTCAGATGCCCAAGAAGATATCCTTAATTAAAATATTATACTCACTAATTGCAGGCTTATATTGTGTAATTTCGTACTGATTTCTGGAGTAATTTTAAACTAAAAGTATGTTGTGAATTTTGCAATTGGAAGAGAGAGAATCTTTGCGATTCTTACATAAAAATATTTAACGAAATGTATAAAATAAAGTTGATTGTAGAAGATATAACAATTACCCGCAAGAAGTTATGAACATTGTGAAAGTGTCAGCATTACTTGCAAGAAATTGATTTATCGAATCTCACAAGTGTTTTTAATTACGCAAGAATATTATTCAGAGTCGATTAACTTTTCGCGGGATCCCGATGGCCGGTTTTTAATTTGAATTCTTTGAAACACTTTGAAAATCCGATTGAGCTTTCGAAGGTTGGGACATAAAATTATTCACGGCGTTTCACACACCGGCCTCTGTTGCAATTGCTCTCGAAGTACTAACCATCTGCCACTTTGTTTCCAGGCGGGCGAAGGCAGGCCTCACATCAGGCACCATCGGGACGGCTCGCACTGCAGCAGATGCGGTCCAGGCTGGGGCGTGATTAACCGCTGCGCTCGTGGTCGCGACACCGAGTGCGGAAAGTGTCCTGCCGGCACGTACAGCCCGCATCACAGCATGCAGGCCTGCTGGAATTGCGCCAGATGCGGCCCGGGCCTGTACGAGGCGCATCCGTGCACCTCGCGCTCCGACACCGTCTGCGACTCCTGCCATCGTCCGGCGCTCAACAATCCTGATTATCAGCGCAAGTGCGAGGGCCGCGCAAAGTTCTTCCTCGCGCCGGAAGACGCGCGGAGCACCGCTGAGGAAAGCGTGCTGGTGAACGAGCCGGCGTACCGATTCGAGATGAACGACAGAGAGCGAATACTCGAGAAGGACGTGGAAGCTATTCTGAGGGACAAATCGACCGCGCAATCAAAGGAGAAGGTCGTCTACGAGAGATCTAATTACCATCCGAATGTTAATCCCGAATAATAAAGGTGTCGCGTCAGCTCAGCTCCATCGGACACCGAAGATATATAATGCAAATGCTAATTTGTTACAAAATTTTCAAAATTGGGCTATTTAACAGACGAACAACAGCAAGAAATTTGCTGATAATAGGATTGGAAGAGGAAACATGTATGTTCGATATATCGATCGATTCTTCAATGCTAGTCAATTAGTAACTTAAGAGAAGTAACGTTTGATCGAGTAATGGCGTACGATTTCGGTACAACGTTCAAACGGAAATTTATTCGTTTGATCTTACTCGTCCGTTACACGAGAACTCGTTCGCATTGATGTCGGACAGATGGGAAATACTCTCTATCTTCGCTACGTACATTATCATATAAACAAATCTTTCTCTTGTATATGAGTGAACAATTACATTTTTAACATCCAAAACTATGTTATTGTTACGTGGGTATAGCGTTCAATGACCGTCATTCGCGAGTGCTGCGGATATTCTTCTATAAGATTTTTTATATATAATTAGGGCATGATTTTGCGAAATTTTTCGTAATACACTTTTACATGTATTAGAAATATGATTCAATTTGAATATGATTACATTCTGATGCCGACTAAAATCACTGTTGCTATGACTGATGATAAGTGCGCGCATACTTACAATTAATCGGTATTTTTAAATCCATGTGAATTCGGAGTTTCATTCGGAATTTACTTTATCGAGGATCATTCCGATGTTCGTAATTTACGAGCGCTTTTTGCATCGATCGTAGATGCACAAGCGGTCCAAAGATAAAAATATCGGATGTAAATTAGCGACACGGATATTTGTGTCGCTAGATCATAACTGTCGTTTACAGCTTTTAACATTATTTGTACATAGCTCTGTTTATGGATCTCTATATATTATACATATAGACTCTCTTACAGTGTAAGCATATTTCGATATTATACATATCCAAAGAACTCTTTATGAATTATCTTATTGTTAGATAGATATAGCATACGCATATTTACGTGCATTTATAGTTTTTGACAATCGAGGATGGATCGGGATTACTTCGTTGCGCGTAGGCTTTTCTTTGCTCGAGCAAACTAGCTGCGAGATTAACGAGTGCGACAAGCAAGCAAACCGGATCGATATCGGTGAAAAAGATCGTGCTAATTTTAAGTGCGTTCAAGGTGAAAGTTTGCCGTCACGTGTCCTCATTCGATTTTTGCTAAATAATAATTGTGTCAATTTTCAATTACCGTCAAAGTCCACGACAATTATTCTCTTTCGACGCGAAAGAGCTTCTTATTAATAAATAGAAGGCAATACACTTCTATTTTATTCTTTATTTTTCATGCTTTTAAAGATATGTCAAGACACACATGATTGGTCCATAACCCGTAGCAGTATGTAATAATTAAAGATTAAAAATCAAGGAAAACAACATGTTATACCTAGGATGTTCAATAATCTTCCAAAATATCTTACGAACAAATATCTCTGGAGTCAGATCATATATCGTTTCCTTTTCGTCTCCTCAATCAATATTCATGCTTGCTCAATGGAATCCTTGAATTGTCATTGAAGCATCGAATGTCTGATGTTGATATATTTGGAGAAAAAAAAAACAAGAATGAAAAAATCGACATTGTTAAGGTGCTCGTCTTAATTATTAGTTATGCACGCGTAATTAATAATTAAACGCCAAAGTTGCAGCCAGACTAGCCCCAGCGGTACTGTGTGAAAAGAGTGTATGAGATAGTGCTATTAATTTATAACGATACAATGTATCTTTAAGAGTAAGTTATTGTAAATATATATTGTAATGAAACACTGTTTCTCAATATTATTGTTGCTTTATTTATCATGCGATTCTAATTCTTTGTCGTATAATGAACTTTTGTATTCACAGGTCTTTTCCAGTTTTTTTAAAAATCACATTCGATAAATTGTAAACATAAAAATGCGCCTCCGTAACCGATTGTGGCCCCCATACAATTGTTGCTTGTACTTTCGTGTCATAAATAATCGTTTTGGCACACCTAACAACAGCTTCGAGGATTGAATAAAACGAAACGATATATATGTGTTGAACATATCCGAGTTAAACGAAGAAAATTTAATTTTTCAAAGAAAACAAGAGAATCGAACAAAGTAAGCGTATTTTTTTTTACGAGAGATAATATGTGTATA